AGTAGCAGGAATGAGTTGTTCATCTTCATCTGTGTCATCATGACCGGATCCTCCACTTGAAGTGTTTTCATCCTTAAGCATAGGTTCTCTCACTACCTCTTCAGTCATAAGAGTTTCTGTGCTTCTCTCGGATATTAGACAGGCTTCAGTTATGTCCTCTGCTTTAGAGTTTAAAGATGTACCCACGTTTCTGCGGCGTGCACTCATGCAAGACCATGATGACAATGATGAACGAGTTCTGACAACAGCTTCAGCAACACTTTGTGCACGCTTCATCACAACCTGCAAGTATAAAATAGAATCTCCATCAATCAAGGGTGAACTATGGGAAATCCCTGAACTAATCAAGTATCTGTAATATAGGTCTCAATAATATCAACAGATAAAACATCCCTTCATGTTAAGCAAAAATAAATAACTAAAAACTTTGCCAATTTCTGATGAAGTCCTAATTGAAAACTACATCCCAAGGAGCACTGTGTACCGCTTGCTGTGAAATAATGTCAATTGGAAATCAGAAAGTTTTGAAGTTGAAGTTACCTGGGTACCACTGGTTACCGGCCACAGAATAGCACCAGCACCAGCAACCCTAGCTTTTGCACTAGATATAGATGGTAAGCGAGATCCAAGTGCAGTTGCAGAGCGGTAGACAACATTTAGTACCTTTGTATGTTCAACCTGATCACGTAGATCATTCAACCAAGAGGATGCGGTGACCTGATTCAAAACCAACTTGGGTAAGAAGCAGAACAAGAATACATCACAAATTTGGTCTTGCAACTCTAATGTGGTCCACATTGTTACTCCTATTTAATTAACTTTGACATAATTTTTCTAAATTATTAGTTTGATTAAAAAAGAAAAGGACATTTTAGATAAAAACTAGCCTAATAGGAATGGCCATAGACGCTCGATGAAGTATGTAATGAACTTTAATATTTTGACAAAATCATCTAAAGTCCTAGCTAACGCACCTCAGAACGGAGATCATCAATAGATGAAGTTGAGAATGTTGGCACCAAGTCAGAACCATTTATAATGGTAGTAATAAAGTGTTTTCCTGATTCTGCTAACTCCCATGTCATACAAGCAGCTGCAAAACAGAAAATCACGATACAACAAATTAGCAAGAGAAGTATGATAAAAGCAGAAAGGATCCCATATTAGAGAAAATTCAATGTAATAAAGCAAATTAATCAAACAGAATCATGGACAGCATTGTATTAAACAAGAATTTCAAAACAAATAAATATCATGAGATGTGTTGCACTCATCACTTATCTTTCGTTTAGTGTTTATTTGCAAAAGTAACTAGAAACTACATAAATTTTACAATTTTTAGGCAAAAATAGGCATGCTTGCTATCAAGTAATCGTTACTTTTGCCATCAAACAAATAATAAGAAAAGTACAAACTTCAAAGATATAGTACATCCTTGACAATAATAATGTGCTGAAGTAATTGGAAATCTCATATGGCCACAGAGAAAGTTCAGTGAACTTGCATGCACATTCACACAATCAATCAAGATAATGACAGGGAGTTATAAAATGCAAAATCTAATGAATAATCTAATTGCTCAATTGAATAGAAACTGAGTAAGTAGTATAACTACATGCCTGGGGCAAATGTGACACATGTGCTTGAAGAGAACTCTTTCTGCTCTCTAAGAATATATGTTAACAGTGCAGCAGTACCACCACCAAGTGAGTGCCCAACAATCTATAGAAAGATAAAATAGGAAAACAGATTAGTAAACATACTTATACAGGCATGTATACAACACTCACGAGAGAGAATTAAAAATGAAATACAATTTTAAAATGAAGAAATAAATTATGAAAAAGGGAATGTAGAGTAATAAGGCATAATGTAAGAAAGAAGAAAATAAATGAAAATATATTATACTATAATTTATCATTATTGGTGAGTTATCTACTGTTATACATCGATGTAATGATACAGTTTTCCAAATAAAATATCAAACCAATACCTTGACTTTGAAGTCTGGACATTCACCAAGAGCCTTAAGTAGGGTAGGAGTGCAGAGCTTAGCAATCCAACGAGCTGCAGCAACCATGCCACAGTGTGCATATCCTAAAACCAAGTTGCTTATCCCACCATCATTTAAAACTGAATGGTGGAATGGGACAACAGCACCAGTTGCAGCTGTCAGTGTGTCTTTTATGCTATGAGTACCCCGGATCAATAGAAGTAAACATTTTGACTGTGTATCACGTATAATTGTGAATGCAGGCTTCAGAAGCTGCAAAAATATATCATGCCATAGAATCAAATTGAAGAAAATTAGGAAAACATGCAGAAACACTTCAGAAGTTGAAAGTTAGGAAAAAAGAGAGAGAGAAAAAAAAAAAAAAAAAAAAAAAAAAAAAAAAAAA